ACAAACGAGTCAACGCGACTTGTAACTGTCCTTGTAATTCTCTTGTATTCTTGTAACCTTACCAATATTTGTCTTATAATATATTTTAATTTATTACTGGATAACATTTTAAGATATTTTATTTTAAAAATCTTTATCTAGATATTATTTTAGTGATCTATTCCCAACACTGGAATCATTTCGCTTAAGCATTTGATATTAATTTTTTACGATGGATATCCAACAGTTAGTTAATAATTTCTCCTCAAACGATTTTTTATATTTTGTTGTAATTCAAAAATCAACTATAAATAGATACTTCAATTTTTCACCAAATGATTATGATAAAATATTACAACTGTCTAAAGGTACCTACATGATGAAAATATGTTCAAAATATTTCGACTATTTTTGACCTATTTAGAGACGGGTCAAAAATCTTAAACAATTAATACAAGGTTCCTCATAAGTTTTTATAATAGCAATTTTTAAATAATGAAGATACATTATGTACGATTATTTTTTTTTTGTAAGCATTTTAAGTACAAATTTTTACAAAATTAGTCAATATACCACGAACATTTGCAAATGTAATTTTGGTTTAAAATTTATAAAATGTTCAATTTTTATAGCTAAAGATCGGAAATTTAAAAGGAGATTTCTCATGAGTGGGCAATACTGTTACCAAAACATCTAAAAAATATATAAGCACAGTTTTTTTTATAGTAATTTTAAGTTGAAACTTGGATGAAATTAGACGTTTTATAATGCAATATTTTACTATTAGTAAAATGAGTTACTTAAATAGCTGTAAATTGTAATATAAATATAACTTTATAATATCATCTAGATAGCTATATTTACTAATATTATATTATTATATGTATAGGAATATATAAGAATCAGGTGAAAATTACATTGGAATTGAAACTAAAGCAATTATTAATATTTTTATTTAATATAGGTATTACTATAGTACATTATATTAAAAAAATATTTTACAAACCATTAACCAAATAATATACATATATTTACATGGGTATAAGAAAAAAAATGTAATAGTTCTAATTATTACTGAATGATATGATGTAGGTACCTACCTAGCTAAAAGCTTAAATAACTAAATCAGTGATTGTGAATATCGTTTTTAGATGATAAAAACTTGATTTTCATTTTGAGGAGGCTTTTACTGGAGATAATCTTAACTGTAGTAATATGTTAAAATATTAAATAATGCTATATTGTAGACATAATGCGGTATATATTATAACTTGTGAAAATATTTTTTAGATTAAAAATTGGTGGGGCGGAGGTTGCCCCCACGACTTAGTTCTAATAGCCAATATCCAATGGGGGAGGTGGCTATATAAGTAATTGTTCATTGCCACACCTAAAAAAAATAGTTCGGCGTCACTGATACTATTATTAATTTTTACAATTACTTTTCGAAATGCTTTCTGTTTCTCGATACAATAGCGTCTATTTGCACGCACCTGTTGTTCTACTGCTAGAATTCTGCTTTTAATAATGTTTATTTCTGAGCTCATGATTCTGAAAATTACATAGAATTTCCAAACTAACTATTAATACTGGTACATTGTTTATACGCTCATTATGTTAGAAAAATTTGATACGTTTTTTTTTAATCTAAAATTTTTATTAAATTAGTTTTATTTGTACGATTATAAAACTTGTACAGTATTAAACATTAAAAACATTTATTATCCTTCGTTAGATATTATATACACAAAATGATATAGGTTATAATTTACTACAATATCATTTGATATATAATGATAAGATAAAATAATAAATAATAACAAAAATAATTTATTTATATTGATTTTATTTTTTCGAAAAACAGAATATTATCAGTAACTATATAACATGTTAAATAACATCATAGACTTGGGAAAAATATTTAAGTGTTTAGAGCGTTATGTTCAAAAAGTAGATGGTAAAATTATGATATATTTGGAAAATCTACCGTTTTTGTATGTTCAAAAAATGATTTCTTCCAAAATATTTTAAGTACATAAGCACATTGCACATAATAATTTTCGTTATAATTCGTTCTATCAGGAAAAAATAAGTTAGAATTTTTATTTTTGCAAATTTGGTTTATTTAATTTCTTGAAGTATTAAAAGTATATCAAAAATGTGTTTAAAATTGTGTTTCATTAGTTCTTCCTGAATCGTTGCCTCGTTACTGGTGGGCTGTCTAAAAAAAAAATTAACTTTTGTTAATTTGTATTCTCTAGAACAATATTATAATTTTATAATTTACATCTTTCCCTTCTTGTTCTTTGCCTCGTTACCGGTGGGCTGTCTAAAAAGATATATAACATTAGCTGTTGTCCATAGTAAAATAATATTATATCATTTTTATTTAAAGCTTACAACATTCGTCTTCTTCCGGTATTATTGTCTGAATTTCATTACTAGTGTCTGAACTGGTTGCTAGATGTGGTCTGCCTAAAAAGAAATGATTTAATTTAAATTATATGCAGAAAACATTATGAATACAAGTTTATTATACCATTAGCCCATTAATATATAATATTGCTTACAAGATTCTGGATTGCCACGCCTATTTCTATTAGAACCAGCCGCATCTGTGACCATAGATATAATTACCATTTCGTTTAAAACTTGAGTAGATGGTTGAAAAACTTCGTTGAATCCAATCGGCCAGTCTTCAGTCATTAAATTAAATCGTGGATACCTACTCATAGAGTGAGTTCCGTTCTCTATATCCATCGTTGTATTCAGGAAAGACAACCTAAAATTCCCGTATATATCTAATATAATTTGTATTGTGAAAGTACAGCAAAAGTAACATACCGAAAGTAGTAGTGGTCTTTTTTGATTCAACCGATTATTAAAAACATTCGTACGGCTGTCATCTAACTCCATTTTATATATAATTCTGCATATATTTTTTGATAGTGTCTGCCGGTGACAATAGTTTATAAAATCAACAAAATCATCAGGATTTACTTCCGACTGTTCCTTATTTTTGTGGTAGGCTGTCATTTCCTTTACCACGAGCCCTGTAAGTTTCCGGTGAGATATCATTGCAGTTATTATGATCGTGATGTGTGTTTGTGTACTAATGACATAACAACAGTGGGGTTTATTTACATTTATTTATTTATATAGCGAGAAGAATTTGTTAATAACCAGAATCATATGTTCAGACAACGATTACATCCAAAATATTTTAAGTACATAAGCACATTGCACATAATAATTTTTGTTATAATTCGTTCTATCAGGAAAAAATAACATCATAGACTTGGGAAAAATATTTAAGTTTTTAGAGCGTTATGTTCAAAAAGTAGATGGTAAAATTACAGTACAGTACAGTACAGTACTACCCAATATTACTGGCAGCTAGTACTAGTGTCTGTATACCTGTATGGTATACCTATATCAGGAAGTATCATATAATTATGCTCTATTCAGCTAGGTCTCCAACATTATTCTTTAATATTATTTGATTTGATACTGAATATTACTACCAATTATAAGTTACATTTAATGCTATCTAATATAATAAAATACATGTACGTATATGCTCAAGACATGGTTATGAAATAGGATGAAAAGAATTGAAATAAATAAATAATAAAATGTAGACTAGCTAATTATTACACACTAAGACATTGGTGTTGAAGCAATTATACATCATATTTTTGTTATCTGAGAAATATTTATTTAATAGACTAATATGATTTTTAATTAAAACAAAATGTTATTTTAACATTGTTTTAAAACTATATAATACAAATTACTTATTTTAATCAAATGTCACAATGTTTTTTAGTTTTATTTACAATTCTTTCTCTTTTCCCATCTTCTCTATCCTTGGCACCAGAGAACCATCTACTTAAATCGTTGGACATTCCTTTTTATCTGGATACTTGCTGGTAAGCACATCTGAAATATTAACCATACAATATAAACTTTTTTTAAACCAGATTTTTGATTTCTTGAATATTAGTAAATAGTTTTAATTTCACATTTCAGAGCAGAGTATTATTTGGATTATTTGATGTATACTAAAAAATGTTCATGCTAGTAATTAATTAGTTATAAATATTGAAATATTTCATAAATCAAAAACTGCAATTCTACTTCAGAATATGAAATTATAAATGTTTGTAGTCATTCCAAAAAGTTATAAAAATAATAACGATACAAATAATAAAAAAAGTTAAAAAAAAAAAAAAAAAAATTGAAATATTGTAAGATAAATATTTTCAAAAACGTTAATAGTTTAACGTATAGTGTTAAGTTAAATGAATTAATGGGTATATTGTATAATAAGTTATTATTAATTACTGTTACCACAACACCAATGACCATAAGTTGGTTTAAATAGTAAGTTAAACCTTAAAACAGTTAAGTTATTAATTTCAAAAAACTATATCGTCACTTAAGATGCAACACCTCATATCTCATTTTTCTCAACTTTTCAGAAGAGCAATAAAACTGGTTTAAATGGAACTAATATGACTTTCTATAATATTTTAATTTTTTTATAATCGTGGAGTTGTCTTTTTACCTTAAAAAAGTTAAAATATTTAATAATATGTAAATCGAAAAAAATTCCTGAGATAGCTTGTGTTGTCGTTTGTAAACGTTAGATAGATATAGTTGTCTAATTAATTTAACATACATTTTTGTATAATACTATTTAATGTTAATGATTCTAGGTAACACTACAGGTTATTTATGAAAAAAAAAAACAATTTAATAAAATGAAATGAAATGAAATGAAATTAAATTAAATTAAATTAAACTTTATAAATTAACATAAAAACATATTATTGTTTAATAAAATGAACAACAAAATAAAAAAATTATAAAAATGTTCCTTTAGTCTTAAGTTTAAAAATCACAATATGTTGCAGTTAAGATTAATTTACTTTAATTAATAACAAATACATAAAAATCAATACAAAATAATCACTAATACATTAATATTGCTTGTGATATTGCTCTCGGTACTTTGGTTATTTCTTTTTTTTCTTCTTGGCACCTTCAATTTCCAAAAAAATGTCCTGCCTCTGCTTTTCAATATTTTGCTGTTGTCGTTTTAAAGTTTTTCTACTTTCATTTTCGCAAGGTATATTATCATAAAATGAGTGCGTATCAGATGACATCATCCCCTTTAAAAACTGTAAATCATTCCATTTGTCAAGGGGTATTTTAGCTTCTGAAGTGTACAGGTTTGGAAATGAAGAAATTGATTGCACTTTTTTTGGCCTGCCTGGTAGTTCTTTTAATTCATCATCGAGATTGAGCTTATAATATATAATACCATTAGGTTCATATTGTAGCATACGTAGATCAGTTACAGTCGGATCACCAGAGCTTCTTCCAGGACGTATAGAGCTGTATATCATGTCTTGACTGTAATTTTTAAAGAAACTGTAGTTCAACAATTTTGCACGGTATGGCATAGGAAGTTTCCTTGCAGTTATTGAATGAACTACGAACTGACTAGGCAGATACACATCAACGTTTTTGTACTGGCGTTCTATAGTGCTGTGTACACTATCACACTCCATTTGAGTGTGCCCTTTTTCCAGATACTTTTGGATGATCGTTACCTTTTTGGACATACTCAAATGTAGTAGTGCATTTGAGAGCACTGCATTTCGGTTCTGATAACCGCACCCGTCTGAATATATAATAACCGTTTTTGATTACTTGTTCAACAACTCATTTATATAATCACATAGGCACGATGCAAATGTGGTAGCGCTAAGTGAGGTCTGTGTTTCATCAAACCAATATGCCATTGCATCGTGTGTTGTTAAGTCATAAACTGTGTAATTGTGGGCTGTTAATTTCAATTTATAGTATGCTGCACTAGCTTTAATATAGGGCACAGTTTGAACGGCCATTAAATCACAACATATAGTGTGACATTGTTTATTTTGAGCAGCAACTTTGTCGTTATTTTTTTCATTACGTGCAGCTTCTTTCTTGGCCAGATGCTTTGAATAGACCTCTTCAGAAACCTGCTTATTCTCGTAACTGAAACAAATGTCACACTTGTCCTTTTTAGGGATTAATATTTCAATATTCTTCTCTCTCTTTATTTTATCAAATGAAAACCTTGACATGGGTGCTTCAACATTTTCTAAGCATTTAGTTTTGTACATTTCATACAATTGACTCCAAGATTTTATGTATGTTTGCAAGAAAAGCTTCTTTGAATTTTTTCTGCAATAATGGGATGGTAGTGTTGGTAAATTATCAAAAAAGCTGGTCAACGTTAGAAGCTGTTGGTCTGATCTTTTTTTCTTCATTGGAGGTTTAGTTGTTGACGTGAGATCTTCATCAACAAATAAATCGGCCTCATCACTATCTTCTTCATTTTCTTGCGGAAAACGGGTAGAGGCTTTTTTCACTGGCATATTATTTTCATGGAAGTTTGCGAGCCAATAGTGAACTTCAGATTTTTTCAAACCCAATGTCTGAAGGTACATTAGTTGGCAAACTGGTACTCTTTTGTCATGAACTTTCAGATAATAGAAGTAGCTAGAATTTCTTTTTGAATTATTGTTTCCTGTAGTTTTCTGTTTTGTTTCTTTAATTTCAACCGTCGAACAAACGTACATTCTCTTGGAATCCCAAGACATATTCTTCCAAAAGTCGTTGAATAGAAATTGGCGATCTTCTTCGCTTACAGAATCACAAAGCCTAGTAATCCATTTTTTGCAGACTGGTGATTGACAAGGAGGCCCCATAATTCGAGCGGCTCGTTGAACATCTTGAAGTATTTTATTTGTACTCTTTGCATCCGCCCTCCTAAAACCTATGTAGGATTCTCCTCGCATTCTATTCGTTTGTGCTTTACTACGAGTCCATGTTTCTGGTTTTGCAACTCTCTTCCTTTATCTGAGGATATTATTAGATTCTATATTAATTGTGTTATTCTCAATGTGCGTTTCATCAGCTGGTGGATTTTCTTCAACTATAGGAACTTCAGGGTTAGAAAAATTGTCGTTGGCTATAGGAATATGAGAATAAAAACTAGTTTGGCAGTCTTGATTAATTGATAAATTAATATTACTTAGGTCATCAAATTCTTTAAGAATTCCATCTTCCAAATAAAGAATGTCCAGGTTTTCCAAATTTAGGTCATCAGAAGTAACCAATTCGTTAGATGTTTGAGGTTCAACAGAACTATTGGATAATATATTATTATCATTATCTATGATATTCATTTTATTTTTGTTGTCATTTTTTGATTTCACGTGTAAATTGTTTTTTAGTACCGAGTTTCTGCCTCCTACTTCATTCAAACAACCAAATATTTCGTCTACAGTGAACTGATTATCTGTACCATATGAGTCACTATCACTCAACATGTCTATAAGAAAATATTACAATTGAGGGAAACATAAAACTAACAATATAGTATAATAATTATTTATTTTCGTTATAGTAACTGCCAATTTTTCTACACTGCTTGTATAAACAATAAAAATATTTAAAATTGAAATATTTTAAAAATATTATATTATATTAATCAATACTAATTCGAAACGAGTTAAAATATAATATTAATGTATGTATACTATCGTCATAGGCGTGCGCAGACTTAAATTTCTGGTCGAGCTTAGGCAATTATAGTACCATAATATTTAGACAACGTCTCTATTTTTTTTTAACATATCAACATGTATGTTGATGTATTAACCTATTAATGTCTATAGTACTTTAGTTATTGTATATTTTGTATAATGTTTGTATAATGTTTTTGTTAGATTAATAAAATGTATGTAGTGGTAGCCGGTAGGTACAAGCAAATATTTTTGATTTTATTATACTTTCACGACAAAAAAAATGTCCATGATATCAACAAACATATTATTATATTATAAGCATTATAATAAAATATATACGCACATTTTACCATGCCCCTACGGCTCTCCCCGTGCGCACGCCTATGATTTTTGTGTAGTCATGTTTAGAATGTACAGTCTAATCTATATAACAACAGTGGCTATCTCAATTAACTTAAATGTATAACACTGGCTATCTAAACCACATTTTTGGCAAATCATTTTTCGGTGTGTTAAACTAAAATATTTTACAAAATTAATAGTATGTTATATCTCATCCTAAAATAGATGTGCTAATTTAGTTCAAACATCAATACCAACATGAAATAATAACGGAAATACGCTTACCTTCACAGGAACTCATTTTTACAGCTGGCGTAGACCTGATAAACACTGAGATAGCCACTGTTGCCAAAACAATTTAGATAGCGACTGTTATCGTTTTTTCGATTAGTGCGTTATCTATTATTTTTATCCTACATTTGATACCATCAGTCGATTCGGCGCGAAATTTTGAATAAGACAGTGTTGCTAACTCAATTTGACCAAAATGTGAGATATCCGGTGTTGCATCTTAAGTGACGATATACATTTTTTTTATACCAGATTAATAATTACTTGAATATGAATAAATAGTTTTATCTGATTAAACTTTATTATATATACCTTTTAAATATTTGTATGTTGTTGTCCCAGAAAAATTTAGTTTTTTAATTCCGTTGGTTTCTCTTCCAAAAGCACTATATTTTAATTGTATCTCCTTAGATATTATTAATGTAATAACTCTTGGACTGACTAATTTTTGTTGTACTGTTTACATGAAGCACCATAAAGCATTTCTAAAATAAAATTATACAATAGGTAAATAATAAAAAAAAACTTAAGATGTAACAGTACAGGTTCAAAATTTCTCACAATTTTCTTCATCAACTCTACATCAACTTTTAACTGTTTATCAAAATGTAGAAAATCTTCTAATGTTGTTTTTGGTAAATCAATCATTATGTCTTCTTTCATAATAGTTTCAATGCGTGTGGTACTTTTTGTAGTGGCTATTAATGATCGTGTTATTTTTGCTTCTTGTTGTACTCTGTACTCAATACTTCTTTTCATACTGTCAAGATCATATTCTGATAGTTGGTTAACATTTGTCTGAAATAGAAAGATTTTTTTTAAAAATGATTTCAGACTTTGAATTGTTTTCAAGTGTTATATGCAGGCTAAATGATGTATTTGTTCAGAAACTCTTCTAATCAACTGCGCCAAGGGATTATTTTTTCCAATAATTTGTCGTTTGATTTTACCCAGACAATTTTCAAATGGAATGACGAAATTGCAGATAAATGCATTTGTGTGTACTCTGCATCATCTAGGTGAATTCAGTCGTGATTATTCATAACTTGTGAGTCTGCTCCATAGAACGAAGGAAGAAGCTCAAAAAACTTTTTTAATAATTCTCTTGCATAGTTTACCTTTGAAGTACACAGCTCGGGATCACAAAGAATTCTACATGCAACTACCAAAGCAAAAAATGATTATACATACATGTTTTTAGAAAGATGTTTATAAAGCACCAAAGCCCCGCAGTAATGTAAAAAGAAACGAAACTGTGTCGCCTTTCAGTTACTAATATCATCTAAATCAAACTTTTTTCTTTGAAACTCTCTGGGGAAAAATCTTGTATATATTTTTAAGGACGAATTTAATAATTTTATTTTTGACCTGGAAATCTTGCATTTTTGATTAACTCCTTTTGTTCCAAGCAATTTATTCAATATCCATTTCATAACTCCTAGGTATAACAAATGCATAGAGTCTAAAAATACTGTGTTTATGGGATCAAAGTGTGGTATATCTAATAAAGGTGATATTTCTTCCAAATGGTGTTCAGCTTGACTCTGTTTAATAAAACTAGTGCTCGCCATTACACGGGTACACGTGTTCTTAACTGAAACGGGATTAAGGCCCGTGTAATTAAAATACACGTACATACTACCCGTGTACCCGACATTACCCGTGTACCTATATACCCGACATTATCCGTGTACCTAAATACCCGAAATTACCCGTATATTTTATTCTTCACGTGTTTGTGTTGAAACTATCGTGATTTCTCTATTTTTTTTTTTTTTTTTTTTTTTTTTTTATTAATAGCTCATAATAGTTAATCGAAGTGTGAGTAAAATAATAATTTAGGTAATTAATGTAGATAAATAATAAAACTTTATGATTATGTAAATAGGTACTTTAATATAAATGTAACATACAACTGAACTGCTTCAATGACTGTAGTACAGTACACAGTTTGACGGTTTAAGATATGTGCACAATGTGCTTACAACGATCGAATACTAATATTAATTGGATATTTCAACATGAGTAAATAAATATATCTAAGAGATTGATAATTGATATTGAAAAATAATAGAATATTTATATGTTATATACTTTACTAATTTGAATTTCTTTTGAAAAAAAAAATTATAAATTAATGTTGTGTTAAAATATTACGTAATATTTTGGTTAACACGAAATATAGGCCATAATAATGACTAAATAAATAATTCCAAAACTTTTAGAAAATGTGATAGATAAAAATTAAAATAACTAACAAAAACGTATAAACAAATAAATAAATAGTAGCAACAATAATATCAATAATAATAATGTATAGAGGTATATTGGTAAATGGTAAGTATCTATTCCTAAATTGTTATGAATAATAAATAAATAATAAACCAACAACAAATCACCCTCGATCTCCTTACAATAATTGTTTGTTTTGATAAAGGAAAACCAACATATTTACCGTTTCGGGCCCCTAACAACTTCTCTTAGCCGTCACAATGTTTCCAGCAGTCGAGAAACACCGTTCGGAACTTACTGACGTTGCTGGTATCCCTAAATACTTAACAGCTAAAACAACTATTAATGGATACTTCGTTGCACGCGTCTTCCACCATTCCAATGCATCAAAATCAATCCGTAATTGTGGTTCTGCCAAGTAATTTTGAAATTGAACTGTAGAATCATCTGTATTACAGTTGCCCTTATCACGCAAGTCCCCCGAAGCTATTTTTTGTCTCAGATGTTTGAATTTGCATATCGTCATTATGTTCACTTATATCATCTAACAAACTCTTGACTCGGGTTCGAATTTCTTCTCTTGCATCTGCTGCCTCGTGTTCTAAATCTTTGTATCTTGGGTCGAGAAAAGATGCAATTTGTCGAGCAAACACAACACTAGAAGGATTCCATTTTAACTTGAAACGGTCTTTTAATTCTTGTATTACAATGTATTTGAAATTTTCAGCAATTTCATCGTCATTTATCTGAGGCTGTAAATGCTTTCGTTAACTTAACAGCAATAACACGTATCGCATTTTTGCTACTTTTCAGGAGAGACAATAAACTGAATTAATTGGTAATTAATACTAAGTCGACCAGATTAAAAATGTAATCTGTTAATTTAAGTATTCCTACATCGTTTTTTTTAACTAAAAATTAAAAAAAGAGTATTATTTACTGGAAAATCCACTTACGTGCTATTAGCCACATCACAGTAAGATATGTGTTATTGATACTTAGAGATACATGTTATCACCAAAAAAAAAACATAATATATTATCATAAAATAATACTATCAAGACCACGTAACTGAAATAGAGAAAACATTTTTTGATAAAGTTCGTTTATATTATTATAAAAAATGAACTCTCATAACTTTTTTATTGACAGTTATAGTTTTAATAAAATAATAACAAACAATTAAATAATAGATTTCATAAAATATGAATCCAGTCTTTGGATTTTTTTTTTGTAAACATTAATTATTAACAAACTTTAAATATTATTACATTAAAAATAACTAAAAAATGAAAATACATTTTATATAATAGTTGAAGGTAATACTGTTGTAACAATATAATAATAAAAAAAGATAAATATACATTAATAGATTTTATAAAATATAACTCCAGTCTTTGGATTAATTTTGTAGAACTTAATAATTAAACTTAGATATTATAATATTTAAAATAACTATAAAAAAATGTCATACAATTTTTTTATTAAATAGAATTATAGTAACAATGTTGGACTAAAATAAGTAATAACAAAAAATAAAAATTAATGAATTTTATAAAACATGATTCCAGTCTTAGGATTTCCTTAGTAAATAATGAGGATAAAATTTAAATATTTAAAATAACTAGAAATAGTTGTTAATAAAGTTTGGTTATAAAATAGAATTGTAGTAACAATATTGTACTTAAAATATATAAAACAAAAAATAAAAATTAATGAACTTTATAAAACATGATTCCAGTATGATTTCTTTATTATAAGGATACAATTTAAATATTTAAAATAAAGTTTGATAATAAAATATTATATATTACCATTTCTTGACTTGTATGTATCAGAATGACTCAAATTGTCATAAAACGGAGTATCTTGAGGTAAACATTTTTTCAGTTTCTGTAAATCTTGCCATTTTGATAAATTTATGGGGATGGGTTTTTTATACAGTTTGTCATATTGCACATCTGGATTAATTTTATCACATTTTCTTCCTATAGGCAATACGGTGTAGGGTTCATCAAACATTAATTTATAAAAAATGCGCTGACTTTCAGGATTATATTGAATTGCTCTTAGATCCTTAACTTCGGGGTCATCTTTTGCTCTTCCAGGTCTTATGGAATTATAAACCTGATGTGATTTGTAGTTTGAAAAAAAGTCATAGCTTAATAGAGTTGCTTCAAAAGAAGATGGGTGTTTTCTAGCTTCTTTTGTAATTCTGATAAAATCAGAAGGTAAATAAATATCTTTACCTTTAAGGTTTTTTTCAATCAAGCAATGTGCACTGTCACAAGTCATTTGAGTATGACCTTTAATAAGGAATTTTTGTTCAATAAAAACTTGGTGCTTGATAGAAAAATGAAGAAGAGCATTAGCCATAACCTTATTTCTATTTTGGTAGCCTCAACCATCAGAATAGATTATTATAGGTTTTTTGTCACTCATACAATAATTCTCTAAATGACATAAAAGAATAGACACAAATATTGAAGCTTCCAGGTCACCATCCCCTTCATGCCACCAATAATTTTTGCAGTGGCCTGTAACCATATTGTAGAAGGTCATGTTGTGTACCTTCAGTTTTGTGGAATAATATAGAGCACTAGCTGTTAAGGTAGGACACAATTTGACAGCTTGACAGTCCATTGTAAACATGTAAAATTTGTTTTCATTTATTGCTAGTTGCTTATCTAAATTCATTTCTTCTCTTGCTCTATTTTTAAATGCTACATGTTCAGCCATTACATTCTCATCAATGTTTCCCATTTCATAAGAAGAACATGTGTCACATTTATCTTTACGTGGAACAAATATAGATAATTTTTTTTCTCTCATAAAATTATAAACATAGCAGATACTTAATGGAACCAGATTACCATCAATACATTTTTGTTTATATGCTTCAAAAACTTGTTGCTTATTATAAAATGGCCCTTCTAGATACAATCTATTTGTTTTTTGCCTGCAATAGTGAGAAGGCATTTTTGGTAAGCTAGAAAACCATAACTGAAGGTGATCGATTCTTTTTGATAATCCAACTCTCTTAGGTGAACTTTTAATTAAATTACTATCACCGACATTTTCTTTTAGTTTCAAACTTTTTGGACTTAATAATTTTCCAGGTAGTCCATGAGTAGCATTTCTTACCCAGTTATGTAACATCCACTCATTAAGGCCAAGTGTGTTTAAAAACATCAATTTACAAACTTGTAAAGGTTCTTCAAAATGATCATGCTCCAAGAAATATTTGTAAGTATTTGCCCTTCTGCTTAAACTCCCGAGTCCTGTTGTATTTGCTTTAGTTAACATTTTTGATACCATACCAATCACAAACATTTTTTTTTCTTCCCAGGTTGCACTCCAAAACTTCTTAAAAATCTCCAACCTTCTACTTTCCTCAAACTCTTGGCAATGTCTATTTGGTAATTTTTCACATCTTTTAGATGTACAAGATTTTTTCATAGATCTTGCAGCTTTTATAGAATTATGTTCAACTACCTTACCATTTCTTTTATACCCAGTATATATTTCTCCATTCATTCTATTATTCTTTGTAGTTTCTCTCTTCCATTTAATCTTTTCTGAACGCACACTACGGGTTTTAGTTTTTTTATCACAGTTCACTAGATTTGATTCACCATTTGAATTTACTAAAATCTCATTTTCTATATTATCATCCATTGTCACTAGTGTATCATTAATGAAACAATCAGTAAACAAGTTTATATCATTTTCTTCAACATTGTTTACAGAACTATCAGCACTTACAACTATTGAATGTTCATAACAAGATTGTTGGCTAGTGGAAGCTATATTAGTTACCTGAGAAGTAGATACAGTTTCAAAATCTGGAAAATCTTTAATATTATTTTCAGTATATTGAAATATAATTTCAGAATTCATGATATCTTCATAGGTCAATATAGGTAAGTCAACAGGAACATCTTTATTTTGAGGGCTGGTAACCAGTGTAGGCATTGCATTGACATTTTCTTCACTTGTATTTGCAGCTAACTTTAAAATGGTATTTAACCGTCGTCTGGACATTTTAAGACCTAGAGACAATAAAAACTTATAACAATACAACTATTATGGGTCTGAGTAAATTAATCAAGTTTAAAATACCTAGGTAATATGTTTATTTAATATTATAATTACAATAAAATGTTTTATTTAAGTAACTATTTAAAACATTAAAACAAAATCGATTCAATTATACAAGGTAAGAAAACTATACATTTTTACTTAATGTACACTGTGTAATACACAGTATTATACTATAAACATTGAGTTTATATAAATTATATATTATATACGTAATAACACGTATTTCAATTATGCAAAATGTTAACCGAATTTAGGAATGTAAAAGAAGCTAATAATGAATTACAAATTAATTATCATTGTAATACAATACATTATACACGTAATACAAATACTTAAATTATAACTACCTTAATATTGAGTAGAACGCAGTTAGTTTAAGGGACGTTCTACATCCACCGTGTGAAATTGGTCAAATACGCGGTATCACAAGTGAATTTATAATACGTGCTATCACTAAAATCACGTTTAGCGGGAAACTAATGATTCTATTGTGTGAATGATAATAAACAATTTTATGCGCTAGGAGATTACAAATATTTTGATATATAAATCTCATTTTGCCCAAAATGAGATACGTGTTGTTGCTGTTAAGGTAACGCTTTTCTATAATAATGTTAACGAGAGGCCTGACCATTGAAATTGAACAATACTTTTCATCACAAAATACAGTTGTAATTACTTGTAGAGGCTTAAGTAATTTAACTATAGTTTCTATAGCTGCCCATTGGTTCACGGTTACTTCGAACTTTTGTGCCATTGCTGCTGTAGTAACTGTGCGATCAGCAAAGACATTTGATACTGGGCACCTATTTTCATAAAGTCGATCCAACATCATGAATACGGAGTTCCATCTGGTTATACAACTTTGAATTAAACATTCCGTTGGTAAACCAAGTTGTTCTTGCTTAGTCTTTAAACATTGAGTGGCCACATTTGAATGTTTAAAATTACCAACGATTTTATTACTTAATTGAATTAATTGTTCTATTTTATCATATTTCAAACCATTATTAATCGCAAGTTGTAAAGTATGCGCGGAACATGTAAGGAAATTTTTTTCTGTAATATTAGTAAGTAAATTGACAGTATTCAAAACTATTTTTGGGTTATCAGTAACTACTGCCATAACTTTTTGTTCGATTTCCCATTTACTAAAAGTAGTTTCCAACTGATTACTTAGATTGAGAGCTGTGTGGTGCTCCAATTGGTGAGTTGTCAGAGTGTAAGATTTTGGGCACCACTGGTCATCAATAAAATGTGCAGTAACTGTTATATACGATTCTAGAGATATTGACGACCAACAGTCAGATGTACAACTCACACTCTTGGCATTTCTTAATTCTTTTTTTATTTGTTCTTCAACCGACGATTTAAATGCTTTGAGTCTTCGTTATATAGCTCCTTCTTTACATATTAAATAATTTGGTTCGACGATAGCCATAAACTGTTGAAGCCCAGAACTTGAACAAAATGATAATGGCATTTGGTTGATCGCAATCATTTTAGCTAACGCTTGGTGGATTTGTTCTGTTCTCTCAGAACTACAAATGTTATTATGCTCAAGGTTCTTATTCATAAAAGTTCTACGTCGTTTTCTGAGGGGTGGTTCACGAAATTCTGAAGATGAAGAACAATCGGTATTTAAATTATTTGAAGATGATGATGATGAACCATGTGTCATAATCGTATTAGACTCCTCTACTTCAAGATCATTATCATCACTAAGAAATATAATTTAATTACAATAATAATTAAAATTAATCAAAAAGCTTTGAATTAAAGAAAAAGGTTCAGCCAAACACATTACAATGGTTTAAGATCCCTCGCCCAAAAGCAAACCGAATAAAAAAGACACCGAATAACTTAAAAATAGTAAATACTTATGAAAAAATGCAAAACATATAATATAAAATAGGTGATAGCTATTGCTGTATATAATACGATTATCTTAATTATTAAATTACCTACTAAATTAAATAATATTTTTATAATTATTATAAGTTTAACATGGATATTATATAAAATAAACTTGTTAGTTAATTTTGTTAATCAATTTTAGCATTCGTTGTATATCTACCAAAAATGTATGAGAAAAAGTAAAAAAAATATTTAAGAAATATAACATGAACGACACGTATGAAATGAAAGCGTAACCTTACGAGCTATAAAATGGATTATGAGCCATGGATCGAAAAATGCATATTTTTATTTAAAATTACCATATCGGTGATCTAAACCAGGGGTCTCCAAACTACGGCCCGCGAACAAGTTTTAACCGGCCCGTAGCCCGCATAGGACTCATAGGTAAATATAAATAAAAAAATTATTTCAAAAATGTATTTATATTTTATATTATATTATATTTATACCTATTTATTTTTATTTAAGTATATTGTAAAGTAAACATATTATTTGTATAGGTACCTATATTATTATAAAATTTAAAATTATATGTGTTGATAAACTTTTGGCCCGCTAAGAGCATTTGATTTTTTTTGTGGCCCTTGAATAAAAAAGTTTGGAGACCCCTGATCTAAACAATAATGATATCTATATATAGGTCTAACTTGATGTTAAGTGGTCTGTACTCTGTAGGGGATACAATATTGAATATAAAAAATAGGAGGGGATTGGAATCAAAATATGTATTTTATATTAGGTATAGGATCATTATTTTAATAAATAATCATTATAAGTATTTAGTATTTACTATTTACTTAAAACTACCAACTTTCTATTCAAAATAATTCATGTTCCAAATACATATCTTTGATTTTGAGTAGTTCTTCCGACATTATGTATTACTTTTAAATGTCTTCCGAACGATCCTGTTGACCCACCAGCACAACTAAACTCTTTATTTGAATTCCTTGCCATTAAAATCACCTTGCCGTTTACCATATTGCCACACCCAACTTTTTTACCGATAACTCATTTTTCAAACTAAAATAATGAAATTACGTACAACAGTGAATATGAAACGTCACGTCATACACACGGACACTGTATAAATTATGAAACAATCTTAAAATTGACAAAATATTGTAACAAGCTATCGAGGCCGTAAAGTTGTCGATAAGATAACTTTGGGTTTTTTTCTTTAAAACCAGTTTAAAATAATCGTATAATAATATAAGTTATTACATATAACGATTAACGATTGAGAATAATTTAATAGATTAATTAATTTGTATTTACTACCTAAGCCATAATATAACGCATTATAACATTTAAAACTCATAACTATTTAAGTATCAATCTCTAAAGTCTAAATAATGAAGATATACGATTTTGAAATAGTTGTATGTATATTTATTAAATGAATTAATAAAATTACAGGGGTGTCCGGTGTCTACTTCATGGATAATAAATGCACGGGTAACGGGTATTAATTACACGGGTAATGGCCAACGGGTATTAAATACACGTGTATCGGTAAAAAATATCCGTGTATAAAAAACACGGATCTTAATTTATTTTTAGTACGTGTACCCAGGTTACGTGTACACGTGTACTGTAATAACCGTGTATAACCACGACCCCTAAATAAAACTTCTTTTAGAGCGTCGCTTAGAATTTACACTGGTATACACCCTTTTTTTGTTTTTAGTCACGCCTCTGGTTTCACAACGCGATCTAGGACATCTTGGCGTGGCCATTTTGGCGTGGCCACTTTGGCGTAAACCAATTTGGCGTATGGCAATTTTGGCGTATAGTTATTTCGGCGTAAGACTATTTTGGCGTTTTGGACTAATATGATTAGTACCTATACGAGTAATATAATAAATAATAAATAATAATATAATAATCATGTATAATAATTAATAGAGTAGGTTGAGTAAAAAATCAATTGATATAAATGTATTAGGTAATAAAAAAGTTATTTACTTTAGGCTAGGTTAGTTCATATAAATAAAAAATATAAATATAAATGTATATAAATAAAATGTAATTGACTTTGAAAGTTTTAGTTTTGAGTAGTATATATTTTTATTGAATAGCAAAAATATTTTTACCTTGGACGTTTCAGTTGACGTATGAATACGACAAGGACAATCATTTTTGTATCGGCATCTCCAAAATTTTTTTGTTTTATTAAAATTATATGCGTCAAATGTGTACATATATCCATCGTGGGTGTATATTTCTCGACCGCGAATGATCTTTATTTGAGCCATTGTCGATTACAACTGATTAGTAAATATTAAATTGTATGACAACTGATTACTGGTAACTGATTACCCGCAACATACACGCACAGACGACAGATATATCAGTCTGCTTTTGTAGTTTACATAGTAAATATAGTAATATAATATTAAATATTTTATTACGCCAAAATCTAACGCCAAAATAGTCTTACGCCAAAATAGTTTTACGCCAAAATAGTCATACGCCAGAATGGTTTACGCCAAAGTGGCCACGCCAAAATGGCCACGCCAAGATGGCCACGCCAAAATGTCCGGGTCCGTTCACAACGCTCACAAGCATAAAAGCCTCCATGACCTCTACATTGTTTAAAAAATGATCTAGCAGGTGTGTCACAAGTAAACCCAACAATATCTACTATACATTTTCTATATCCAATAGTCACTCCATTCTGAACTAAAATTTCAACTTCTTTAACAAAATCTTCCAAAAATTCAACTATACTCTTTGGTTTAGAATCACCATGGTAAAGATACACAATAAATGGTTTTGATTTGTACTCATTATGCAGGATAAGTCCTAAAATAGGCCAAAAAATTGGTTTAAATGATTGAACAATGACAAACCATCATGTTAAACAATAAACGTATATTATCATCAACATATTCGTTAATTATTATTTGTTTCAAATTTTCTTCAATACCAAAGTATGCATAGGAGCCATTAGTGTTCTTTGAGCTCATTATAGTTTTTATATTTTTTATTCGATTTAGTTTTCAATAAAGCAGCTGCTGATTTTGGCAAATCATAGATATTTTCAGACCCTAACAAGTCTAATAAGCCATCTATTGTTTCAATTGTCAGGTTTCTTCTGAACCTAACAGCCCAGCTTTGAAGTTTGTCACGGAAAGTAGTTACTGTATCATTTTCATCTTGATTGACACTTCCTCCACTACAGCTTCCATCCGAATTCGAAGATTCCAGAGATGCTGGGTATGACATAGGAGATTCATTATGATTTGAGGTGACAAAATCTGGAGATCGGCTAGTATACCCAGCAGAGAAATTTGTCAAATTACGAACGTTATTGTATTCCAAATATATATCTGAGGAAGAATCTGAATTTTCAATTATAATTTGTTCAACAACACTTGATTTATTACTTGATATCATACATAATTCTTCAACAGCTGACCGTTTCAATTGGCGATGTTTTTTTAATCTATTATACGAAGACATTTTCTTTAATCTTCTAAAAACTCCGGTATAATTTTCAATTTTCCAATAACAATGAATATGTATTCAGTATGGATAGTCCGTATCAGTTAGGTATACCTAATTAATAGAATAAACAAAATATACAAAATGTTAATTCATATTTACCTATGTGGTACTGCTTTAATTAATTTTAATACAATTAATGAATTCTTCTGTTATGGTTAGCAAATAGTTTTGATTCGTAACCTGTAAAAAGTAAAATTATTGATTTATATTAATACTCAATGCAATCAGTACCTATGTCCTATATGATATTAATGATTATTAATTATATTAAAACTTGAAAATAAAAAGTATAATTTATTAACATAATATATCCTATTCCTATCTAGATACTTTAATTTTCTTATATTTAAAATAGCCAATTGTATATTTAGTTTTTATTTGCTATTAACATAACATATTATCAGAAGAGTAGAACAATAGTATACAATAGTGTGTTCACGCTAAGAGGTACCACTGAATATCTCAGATGGGTGACATTGTATTGAAATGGGGTTTTCGGGAGGTGATAGGGAGCACTTTAATACATATTTTCAGACCAGTTTCAATTTTTTAGCTCATTCAGTACACGCATGCGCAATACAACTTACTTTTTTTTAAATGGCAACCCCAGTTTTTTTCTGCAGATTCGGGTTGAGTATTTTTTTTTTAAACAATTTATGTATAAAAAGATTTTTTCTATTTTCAAAACTGACTAAGTTAGAATAAGTCAAAAATTGGATTTATGCATAAAATGTGTTAAATGCAATTTTCATTTATAACCACTGGAAATAATAAAATAAGTGCCAAATAAACGTTTAATGTGGGATGGAGTGGCTCACTTCGAACCCGGCTACGGGTGGCATTTTTCTTCTGGTGTGCGGAGAGAGAGGCCGACATGACGACATCCCCCACCTGGGCATGGTAGATACCTACGTGTGTTCACGCTAAGAGGTACCACTAAATATTTCAGTTCGATGATCTTGTACTGAAATGGGGTTTTCACTGAATGACAGATAGTACTAAAATACACATTTTTAGATCAATTTCAAATTTTTAACACCTTCGATACGGGTATAACACCACACTACACTATCACTACACGAATCATTTAGTGATTCCATATCTTCATTTAACCACGAACTAATTAACTCACTCATACTTTTGAAAAATAAAATAAACGGCAAAAAAAGTAAAATATTGAATAAAAAAATAAACAAGTAAAAACGAAAATATGAACGCGAAATTAAAACGCTGTTACTCGCGCGTCGAGGGATTCGCTCACAAAACACGACTAGTTGATTTCGGAAAGCAATAGGTATCGTTATAGCAACGCAATTGTGCCAGTCAACTGATAAATCTATTTTTAAATACTTCGTCATAAGGTACTATGAATTTGGGAAAAATATAACAACCCACAAGCCAGTGGTTACCAACCTAAAAACTATGTGAGGGAAATTCTCACACGCGAGCAATGACGGGTTAAGAAAAATTATAATGGTTTTAATTTTTTTATTCAGTGCTCAGTTAAACTAATTAGAATAAACCTATACAGTCCAATGTACAATTTTGTGTTTTTTAAAACTATGTATTTGTTTATTGTAATGGGCTTTAAATTGTTTTTATTTTAATATATTTTTGTAAAAAAAGTCAAATGTGCCATTTCTGGCCACCTAAACACCAATTCTTGCAACAGTATTGTACCAGTTGTGGCCATAAAAATAAAAACTGTATATTTTTAGTGTTTATCATTAAAGTTCTTATGTTTTTAATAATTACATTATCACAGACTTTTGATTTCAAATCTTTATATAACTAGGTACATAAAATGGATTTAAAAAAAAATGAAATAACTCTATAACAATAAAAAACAGATACTTAAAACTACATAATATATAATAAAATATAGAACAGATTAACTAAATATTAAAATCAGATTGGATTTCCATTAATGCATTTACATTTAATAGGTTACTTTGTTACTTTACCTATAATTTTAATAAAAAGAATATAATATATAAAAATTGAATTAATTAAATAACAATATTAAAAGATAAAATTGCATAGTACGAGGTCTGTCCGGAAAGTATCGGGCCTACCTTTATATTTTCGTGCTAGCGTTATTCTTTATCATCTGGTGGGTGGCATCCTTCAAAGTAATCCCCACTTGATTGAATAACACGGTTCCATCGATGTTTCCACTTTTCAAAACAGTCCTGGAACTCATTTTTAGGGATAGCCTTAAGTACAATCGTCGCATTGTTTTCAACCGTTGTTTTGTCATCGAATCGGTGTCCTTTGAGTGGTTTTTTGAGTTTTGGAAACAGCCAAAAGTCACAAGGGGCTATGTCGGGACTGTATGGAGGTTGTCGAAGCAATGCGATATTGTGTTTGCTCAAAAACTGCTGCACAAGATTGGATGAATGCGCTGGCGCATTATCGTGATGGAGAAGCCAGTCACCACTTGCCCAAAAGTGCGGGCGTTTTCTTCTCACTGCATCACGCAAACGTTTCAAAATTTGAACGTAGTACTCTTTATTGATTGTCTGACCTGTTGGTGCATATTCGTGATGCACAACACCTTCACAATCGAAAAAAACAATCAACATTGACTTAACATTGCTCCGACTTTGACGTGCTTTTTTTGGTCTTGGCGATTCAGGATGCTTCCACTGTGAAGATTGTTGTTTTGTTTCAGGATCATAACCATAAACCCATGATTCATCACCAGTAATAACCTTTCTAAGCACATTATCATCATTATTGACCATTTCCAGATTGTCCAGAGCGATTTCTAAGCGAATGTTCTTCTGCTCAGCTGTGAGCAATTTTGGGATGAATTTCGCACACACGCGTTTCATTCCTAAATTTTCGGTTAAAATTTCTGAAATGATAGTTTTTGGTATCCCAAGGTCTTCTTCTAGTTCTCGCACAGTCATACGACGATCTTGTTCGATTGCAAGTCGCACCCGCTCAATATTATCTGCGGTTTTTGTCGTCGAAGGTCGGCCGGAACGAGAATCACTATCAACAGAAGTGCGACCATCCTTGAACCGCTTATACCACTCTTTTATTCGTGTTTTGCTCATACACTCACTTCCGAAGGCCTTTTGCATCATTTCAATAGTTTCCGAACTCGTTTTTCCGAGTTGAAAGCAAAATTTGATGCAAATTCGTTGATCTTGTTTTTCAGTCATTTTTGACAATATCAAAATCCGACGAACGTGAAAAAGGCACTGTAAACAAAGACACGCTGCGCATGAACTATACGTTCGGCAGATGTCAGTAAGTAACCGATAGATTCATGAGGCTTTACTGTTGACGTTTCTGTCCAGCAGAGGTCGCTCGAACACTATGGCGCGAAGATATAAACGTAGGCCCGATACTTTCCGGACAGACCTCGTATATATAACATATAATTATAATTATACTATAAGTTTTAATATTTTCTGTATTTTGATATTTCAGGCACTAAGCAAATACCTCTTGAATTAGATACCTCTGGAGGCTTAATAATTTGTATTACATCAATAAATTTATACCATATTTCATCATCGTAATTTGGCCATTTTCATCCACTTCCACTCATAGTCATGACACTTACTAAGGTTGAGGTTTGATTGGTGTCATTGACGATACCAGGGTAATATTCCCCTTCATAATGTACAATTACAAAGTCCCCTATTTTATACAGTTCTTCCAGTTCATCATCATCAGTATTGTCATTTTTAAATTCATCTGTAATGTCATCTTCCTCTGGATCAGTGTCTGAACTTGAATAATTAAAAATTCTTTTCTTTCGGTATTTATTTTTGGGCAAACTTTTCTCAATTTTATTAGGTAGGTTTATCAATAACTCTTTTAATACATTTCTTTGCTTTTTCTTCATCTTGAGCACTTTTAATTTCTAACCATTTTTGTGATGTAACAACTGTTAGTAACTTCACTCTACAATATTTCCTGGTAGTATTTGGTACCGGCTCTGGCCATTTAATAACATCAGCCATAACATCATCAAATGACTTATTTGATGAGCTAGGAGTGGAGATATTTGTACTTAGATTTTTGTCAGTTGAATTAGAACTAGGACTTATATTGTTTAATACTATTGTTTGTTGGCTTGTGGAATTAGTAGTATTATTAATTTTTTGTAATTCGTTTGCCTCACAATTAATAGGAGGTTGTAATGTATTTTGATTCTGATGCTCAAACATTTTATCCCATACATCATATAAATCTGAGACAGTCATAGAACCTTCCCAATCAGTGTGCCTGTGTTTAGTCAAATAAAACTCCTTAAGAAGACCAGGTTCAATAGATTTTTCTAAATTTTTAAGATGTGATACATCAGTTGATTCAGATTGTTGTGTGGAAGTTTTGGTTGGACATTCTTTTAAGTACACTTTGAATAATCTACATTGTCTGCATTCCATGGAAAAAGTCCACAAACTCGAAATCCAGATTTAATAGAGTTAGTAAAGTTGCTATTATTTAAAATTGTGTGCAATACTGTTGGGACATCTTGTTTGCATACTTCTTTTCCATCGTTATCGACTCTCCATTGGCGAACTGTAGATTTCCACTTAGCTTTTAAAGGAGCAAAGACCGAAACATCAAGAGGTTGCAGAATGTGTGTTGTGTTTGGAAATAAACATACCAAAATTATTTGGTGTTCTTTGCAGAATTTACCTAAATGCATTGTTAAATGGGATGAATGGCCATCTAGGAAAACGATCACAGGAAGTTTAATTTTACTGTTTATTAAATATGGATGAAATACATTGGTAAAATATTCATAAAACGCTTCACCTGTCATCCACCCAGAGTCAGTTTTGCCAAGACCCCAGTAGCTAGGAGCAGATCATGCTATTCCTTGGTTCATACGTTTATACTTATATACAGTCAAGGAGGGAGCTATTACACCAGCAGCACTTACAGTTATCAATGTCGTTATATTTTCTTTATCCGACTTTGTCGAT